CGAAAGAAGAACAAAAATGCAAACTGAAAGCGGCTTATGCGGGTTTAAGGTGATCCAAAAAAACATAATTCAAAAGGAATGACTATAAATCGAGTTTGTTAGTCAACGAGGACAGTTGTTATTGCGTTCATGTATGAATGTAATAACTTGAATAAGTTGCTTTTGATTTCACCGATCTTCATATTCCTTCTCAATAGGCTTAATCTTCAAGACACTTTTTTGTTAGAGTTTTCGGAAAGCTCTTTGAATAACACACAAGTATTGCTTATGTTTGCATGCGTGAAGTCATTGATGACTGAAATGCTTCTCAATTTCCGTTGGAAAAAGACAGAATAATAGAAAGAAAAACCAAAAAACTAGATGCCTTCCAGAGAGAAGTGAGGGGAAGTGAATTAACAAAACGAAACGTTGGAGAAAAAGTTATGTAATATAGTCTCAACCCATCATTACCACCATCGCATAGGAAAACAATACACGAGAAAGTCCAGAATATTCAAAATTCAAACTAACTTGTATGACTGTTGCATCCGAAGAAGATCATGAATACAGTATGCAAGATAGAGCCCTGTTAGGCTTCTTCGGAAAGATGGAAATGTTGCTTGTTGGAAAAAAACAATAAACGAGCAATTGTGATGACTTACTTAATCTGTTGGTCACCTCAATTTGATTTTTGGCGCTAAATAGATCAAACTAACAGTCTAACCGAGAGTACTAATGAATCAATATCATTATTGCTTGAATGAATTCACAACTAAATCGGGTAACATGAGAGAGAGAGAGTTTCAGAATGTGATGAAGTAAAATTGAATAAGATGAATAAGGGCAAGATAATACAAACTACATCAAATGGAATATACTACATGAAGCTGATTTGATTATACTGTAGTGTGAAAGGAAATGATAGATATGCATATGTATAATAGGAGATAAAACCATTAATATCATAACCTCATAGCGTTTTCAACGAAATTATTCAGATTAAAGTATTTTTGAAATTATTTAATATACTAATTGCCATCAATAAGATAACCAGTTTTGGAGAAAGATTACAAAAATAGAATAACAATCTTTCACAACTCATAATGACCAATTTATTTTCTTCAACTAGCTTCTATATATGCATACTCTGGTAAAGAAGAATGTAGCCAGAAAGAATAGAAAGAATAGAAAGTGAGGGACAGACTGGGAAAGCAACCGTTCCAGATGAATGACGGATCAAAAATAAAAAGCACACGTATCTCACCTCATTCACGTGAAGTATACTGAACTCGTGTAATGATGAAGAAGCATTCACTCCCGATGCATGTTTGTGTAAAAATGAATTCTGATGATATTATGAAGAAATACCATGAATTAACATAAGAAAGAACAAGCTGGACAGATTAAGATTACGATTTGTTCATGGAAATGTGACAAGAAATATTTGTTTTCATTTTGTTATAAATTATTTAATAATTAGCTATAAAAGAATCAAGTCATAGCTCCATGAATAAAATGAAAATAAAGAGCAGTTGAGAAAAAAGCAAAAAAGCATTTAACTCAGCTTTCTGAGGTAAAATGATGCCTCAAATGTTCTCATCTAGCATTGAATCTACTCATGATTGAAAGGCAAAATTTTTCCTTTTCCCTCTCATCCTCTTTTCAAATTCCTCAACTCAATTCCATTTGCGAAAGGTGAAAAATTAAAACAAAAGATTATGAGTAACCTTTAAATAAAATGTTTTCGGGGCGTTTTCTTGTTTCATTTTGAGCATTCGCATGAGATCATTGTAACTTCCTGAAGTCACAAAATTCAAACAATGAGGTTGTTAAGTAAATATGGCATTTGATGAACTTCCCAGTAGAAAAAATTATGGAATAAGCCCAAGATATTTTTCTTCTTATTCAGATGTTCCCATTAACATCTATTTCAATCATTTTGATAGATGGAAGGAAAACATTGAAACCTGAGCTAGAGATTTGAATGATCGAAGAAGGAAGTTTTTGAAACAAAGGAAGTCTGATGCATTCAGAATTGGTGAAATATGCTTTTCTTTGATTTCTATAACAACAAACGAATATTTTCGATAATTTTAATCATTTCATTGCTTTTCATTTAAAAAAATGCATCTGTTTCTCTATGGCTCTATTCTGTTTTTAGCTCAGTGTCCATGTCCCATCTATATCACACAGATTAGTGTGAGATACAAAGAAAGTAATAAGAAAGGGAGAGAATTCGCTTTGTGTCTGTTGAATTATTCGCAGGAAACTACTATATTACATTGCCTTCAAAGGTTTGATGAATTCCATTTGCTCTCATACACCCTCTCATCTGTTTTTGTCTTTCTTCAACTTTTTTTCTTTAGCTTCTCTTCCTTCTATGGTATTCAACAAGCAAACAACTGGTATCTGGTATGTGCCAGGGGCTATATTGCTTGTGCCGCTTCTCTTCCCTCTCTTTTCTCCCTCTTTCACCTCCTTCTCTTTCGTTTTCTACTTGTGTCTTTGTTTTCTCAACTTCTTGCTGAAACACTCTATCTTTTGTTGTTTTTTTCGCATCTCAGCTTCAACACTTCTGATACTTTAATGAACTCCTTTTTTGTGACAATTATTAGGCTTGTAAAGTTTGTTTACAGTTTCATGCATCACAAGAGAAGAATGAGCACTGAATGCATTTCCAGAATTCGGCAACGAACCTTTGTCAAAGATTAAGAATGGCCGAAGTTTGCAATATTTTCAATTTGAACTTTGATTCGAAATAAAAATTGTTTTTATAAATATGCCACTGATAGTATAATGCTTTATTTCTATAATTTTCATGAGTAGAATCAAATTAAATTATATTATATGACTCTTAAATAAAAGATTTTCAGCTCGCTATGAATAGTTCGTTATGACTTATTCAGCAGACAAGGAAGTTCTGCTCATTTCATTAATAATTACCTAAGAATTCACTTAATTTCTCATATCTTTCATGATGCAAAAATACTATTAATGAAGATTAAGTCATACAAAATTACTTTTTTACGTGTAATTTCCATGAATTGAATTACAATAGTTGAAAACAAAGTTGAACATCGTGCCTGCAGACAGCTGAAGTAAGTTCATTTCGGAATGTTCCAACGTGTTGAGCGGTTGCATATAATCCTTCTCTGTTTGCATTTTTTTCATATGTCGTGTATTTATATATATAGAAATTGTATAAGCAAGCATTTTTTGAAAACATAGTATTTCTATGGGATTCTCATCACACACCTTATACAAACATCTCTTCTTGTTATTAATCATGGATAAGGACATCTTACAATCTCACATCTAAATCAGAAACCTATCCAACTCGATGATCACACAAGAATCATATAGAATTACAAATGAGTATTTTGCAAAAACCATCTGATGATCATTTCATTCGTTTACTTAGTTTGTCAAGATTCATTCGTCTATATAACCATCACTTCATGAAAATTACGAATACAGCTGACATGTGATTTTATTTTCATTTCGTTGCTCCACACTCCAACCAACTTTTTTCCCGCGAAATTAAAAGTATAGACATATTCCCATATGAAGCGGAAGAAAAAGGAAGACATATAGATAGTGTGTGAGGAGAAGAACAGCTTGTAAAGGAGATAATTCTTCCTCTTCTAAACAATTTAATTATGAGCCTGGAGCGTCTAATCAGACGTCACATCCTTTATATCTCACTGCATTCTCAGTACCGTCATTCCAGCTACTACTCGAGTCAAAAAGTGAAGAAGTTATTTGTCCTTAAAAGTTCTATGTTTCCTTGAAAGGATTTCCTTTATTGTTGTCCGTTTCAAAAAGACTTCAACATCATTTTTGCTGTTTTTGCTGCTAGAAGTTCTATTCAAAGTTAAGTTTGAAAGTCATCCAGAAAACGGAAGACCTCATTGACTTCATCGCCACATCATTGGCCGCTTTCCATACTTATTTCTCGCGATCTCTCCCGCCAATTCTGTCTGCTTCATTTCTGTTTTGATTTACTTCAAATGTCCTTTTTTGTCTCGCTGGGCGGTTTTCATTATTTTTTTAATTTTTCTCCAGAAAAGTTTCAGAACTAGCAAAAAATCATAACATTCTTCAAATTGTTTTCAAATACTCGAACTACAATCTAATTTCCCAATCACTCCAGTATTTCGATGCTTTTTGTTCTCAGTTCATGCTTTGAACTTTCATTTTCATTCAAAATCTCTTTCATATTGGATCATCGTCATAGCAACATAAGAAGATCATTTGTTTAGCTGTACTTCTTCCACCTTTTTTGTTCTTCTCTCGTTTTGTTCAGGCAAAATTATTTTATTTGCTTGTTCAATCGGAAGTTGAGAGTTATTTTGATCATTTTATGATTCATGATGTTTCTTTGCTTGCTTTTCCTATCTCTCTTCCATCATATTTCTAGCAAAATTACTAATTTCATCAACAAAACCTCGTAGCTAACTTTCTCTGCAATTCTTATTCATCTTGTGAAAGTCCGAACACACTCCCAACCTCACAATATAATATAAGTTGCGGAAGCGGAAGCTTCTCCATTTCAATGACATGAAATGCTCTAATCTAACATCTTATTATATTTTTCACATTTTTTCCAGCTCTAATATTAACAAAGTGATACTGCTATTTCCGCTTATGCTAAATCATTAACCATCTTCGATTTCTATTATTAAAGTGTTCTTCTATCAGGTACAAAACATGAAAGGAAGAGTTGAAACATACGTGAGAAGCATTGGGTGGAGTCCTCATGACTGCAACGAGAAAAGAGAGAAGAAAAGAAGCATAAAGAAGATAATACGAAACTGAGAGAGTTAAAAGACAAAAAATGAGAAATAGAGAATATCATAGTAAAATCATTGTCGTTCTTTCTACCAGAAAGCATTTAAGTATCTGAGAAACAGAGTCTAACTCATTCAAATCCTTTCCTTTTTTATTCTTCTTCTTTGTTTTTTTTATTCACTTTCTCTCATTCTCGTTCGGCTTTTCTTCAATTGTATTTTCAGTTGAAAATGATTCCAACGATGGATGGAGTAGCTTGGCACTTTACTGGACCACCAGGATGGTACGTTTGATTCAATTTGTTTCCTATCGTTTTCTTCCAAAACTTTCATATTGCATCTGCTTGAAAATTCTTCAATTTTATTTGCTTTCCCTATAGTTGCTTATCGATTGATTTCATGCGTTTCGTCAATGTTGAAGAAGAAAAAACCAATTTCATAGACATACATCCATGTACATATATGGGCTAGTTCATAAGGAGCTGAAGCTCAAATTCTACATCTAATGAATTTATTTGGCTCTTAAAATTTTTATTAAAAATGACGTTAAATGAAAGTATGTTGTAACAGAATATTCCTATTGATCTTTACCCTTAGGACAAACTAATTTTGTTCGTCCTTAAAATAACTCATGAACAATAAAACGAACACTATCACATATATTTTTTTTGGAAGAACAATGACGAAAAAAGGCTTTCTTCCTTTCTCATCCTACTCCTCCATTCTCTTCGTATCCCACCAATATCCCTCTTCTAACTCAAGAGAAGATTTATATTCATCATTGTCTCTCTGAAAGCTTTCAAGAATAGAATTTGAAAAAAATAGTAAAAGAGAGAAATGAAAAACTCTTTTGAACATAATTTTTTTGACAAACATTTCTGTTTTTAATATTTTCACATGAAATGTGTTTTCTTTTCATGATATGAGATTTTCCTCACAAAAAAATTAAAAAAAAAGATATTCGTGCAAAGAACATCTCTTTCAATGTTGTGAATACATCATGCAACCGTACTAAAGCGATATGCGCTATCAAATAAATTTTTTCGCTCCACGTGTTTTTCACGTTACTTCCACGCCTCTTAATCTGCTCCTCATTAATGACGTCATTGCAGTGAAGTTGATGATTTGGGATTTAAACGACCGTGGGATAATCATGGTTGTGCTGCTTCCGATACGCCATTTGAGCTAGGGCAATTAGCCTACGAAGAGTTTTGGATGGAGTATTGTCAGATTTTAATTCGACGACAAAAACGTTGGGATCAGATTGATCCTAGACGAAACCCTAAGTGTCGTGAGTTACCCGAAAGAATTTTTTTTGTAATTTTAATGAAACAATTACAGTCCGAAGATTCATTCACAAAGGAATCCCACATGTACTCCGAAAAGATGTGAGAATTTAATACAAAACAAAGTTTAAAATAGATATAGATCTGGCTTCGCAATTCCCCGCCTCGAGGGACCCCTGATCCAAACTATACAGTACCTTTCGAAGTAGTGGAATCAATACGAAAAGATTTGCAACGAACTTTCCCAGATAATATTTTCTTATCAACAACCACGTGAGTGACTCTGACAGAAATCTCAAACGATAAGTATATTCTTTGAAGGTCTCGAAATGCACTTGGTCGAATGCTGTTCCATTTAGCTCATCATGTACCATTAATAGGATATTGTCAGGTCTTGGGAATAACATTAGAACTGGTTAGGAAAGTGGTATTTAAGGGTTTGAATTTTGTGGCTGGGCTCATATTATTAGTGGTTAAAGATGAAAATCGAGCTACAGACTTGTTAATAAGTCAAGTAAGTAAAAGACAGGAAATGTATGATCCGAAGCTATCTGGTCTAAGACGCGATATTCGTGTTCTGCATGCTCTTTTATGGTACGAAATGCTATCTCTTGATGGCACATGAAAAAATATAATTTGAAGGAGTCGCTGTGAAAAATTTTGCAACTTGCTGGATGAGTTGAATATAGGTTTGGAGCTTTTTGTGACGAAATGGTTTGTATGCTGGTACGTTGAGGTTCTTCCAATGGAGGTTTGTATCAGAGTTTAGCAGAACATTCCTTCATGAATAAATTTCAGACTGTTCTCCGTATATGGGATTGTTTATTTTATGATGGGGACGTGTGGCTTTTTCGTATTGCCGTACGTCTCATAAGAGAACATCAAAATATTTTAATTCGCGCCAAGACAATTGACCAGCTCATCCAAGCGTTCAATGATCTAGGGAAAACAGCCTACGCTTTGAATTGTCATAGACTTTTAGCAGTATTTATTCTATATTTCAAGCGTTTAATAACTTATATTGTTTTCAGGATGCAAAATTTGAACCTATTGATCAAAATCTGGTGGATAAGCTAAGAGCAAGCGAAGAATTAGATTATGATGAAATGGAAAGTGAAGAAGCTTCAGACAAATTGACAAAAACGTGATCATGACAGTATATATATCTTAAAATAATTGTTCAAATAATTAATTTATTCATAATATTTTTATTTAAAATAAAAAATCTATAGAAGTCGTTTACTTCATTTTTGAAACAATTTCAGTCTTCTCATTAGCATATATTGATTGCAACGCCACGTATTTTACGTGAATTGTGCTCATTTTCCATGTAAATGAGTTGACGAACGGTTGGTTTTTTTTTCTTTTTTCTGGTACATCATAACCCATATTTTTATGAATTTGTTTTGACGATTCTTCACAACAAAAAATATAGCTTCATCATTGAATAATTCTATTATTAATTCTTCTAAATGAATAGTTTATTCTATTCGAAAGAGAGAATGAGAGATGAAAAATTATTTGAATTTAACTAAATTTAAAAGCACAGAAAGAGATGATTTTTCAATTGCTTTTGTGGGATTTATATTCCGGTTAAACGAATTCGTAAAACCATATTGGAATGTTTATTCATCCCTCTCTCATTCTCACATCTCATACCACACTCTCCATTATCTTCTTGTATTTATTGATTGTTCGTTTTAAACAAAAAAAATATAAAAATCAATAATGACACTTGGCTTATCGCGAACATATTGATTACCTTCTTCATCATAATTAGTTCTTTTATCGAAAGCTATTATTTGTTTTTAAAAACATTTTTTTCTATCCTATGTTAACGAAAGCTTTTTAAAAATTATTTCAAAGATACATTTTCATTTACTTGTTTCATGAATGAAGCACATCAGCCCGGCATATATGTTGTTTTAAATGAATTTGAAGCCATATAGGATGAGCTGACATTAGAGATCTGGCTAGACTGTTGTAAGCTATAGCTGAGCAATTATTATTCTTTTTTTTATACACAAAAATCACATGATTTCATTATTTTAATTAGTTAGTATGATTTGTATGTTATTTTAGAAATAATTGATATGAATTATGGGAAAAGAGAGAGAAAGATAAAGAGTCAGCCGGTGTGAGAGAGTGCTGAGAGAGTGAAGAAGGGATTAGGATATTCATGAAGAAAATGAACTACGAAATGACTCAGAATTCCCTTCAACAGCTGATGTCGGATTGACTTTTTTTTCTTTTTTCCTCTGCTTTTTTTTGCTTTCTAAGAAGAAAGGCTGTGTAGTAAAGGAAAATGATTGCAAATGATGCTGATACTCGTTGTTATAAAGTATGTATGTGTTATGAATGATTGATAACAACAAAAATTCATTGAATCCTCTTATTTTGTCATTCAAAACTGTCAGCTCTCGCTCTTGGAACTCTTTTTTATCTTTTCTTTATGCTTTGGGCGTTGTTTGTTAAAGAAAACAAACTCGAAAAGGAAAAGTTTAAAAACGAACACGCAGCATCTGCGTGTAAATCGACGTTGACAGATACAGGCTAGGGTTTTCTTTTTTTTTCTTTAGAATTGTCATGTGTATGTATTTCTGTTTCACTTCTCTCTTTCACTCCTTTTGCGTCATTTTGAACGACAATTTGACAATTCTTTTTTTCTCTGCAATTCATAAGACATACTTTAGGAACTACTTCTATTAAGGCTTTAATCTAATTTTCATTCTTTTATTTTTTTCCTCAATCAAACAAAGAAAAATTTAATCTCGTTCTTCTTTCTTAAGTACTATTTATGGTTGTCTCTCTTAACGAAGAACACAAATCGATTTTTACTCTCCATCCTCCTTTTCTCAATACAATACCAAACATATCGTTCACCTCTTCACCTACCTCTTCTCTATGTTGTTACTCTCCTTTGTTGCTCTGTCTAACATATTTCCTTACAAAGCCTAGACACAAACTTTTTTTTCAATCAATTTCATTATCATTTCCTTCTTTTTTTTTCTTCAGTTTTTCCCCATCATTCTGCCGTTGGAATCTTGTTTTCTTTCAATTTCTACGAAGAACTTGAAAAACCTTTTTTTGCCCTAAATTGAGCCTCGGCTCTTTCTCATCTTTTTTTTTGCTTTTCGTGCTCGCAACTATTTAGTTTTTCTCTTCTTTTAACGATTTAATTAACTCGTCCTTTCTCTCATCCTATTGATAATCTCTTCGAGTTCTTGTTAGATATTGTTGTGCTCCGATGGGAATATTTGAAGAAATGAAAATCAAAGCTCTACTTGCAGAAAGAATGATATCAATTTATCTTTGATAAGCAGTAGACTTTCGATTTGTCGAAGCTGTTTTTCTGTTTCCTCGCATTTACACTAATGATTTCATTTTTTCCCTTAAGAGCGTTCAGATTGTCTCTGAATGTTGTCGAACAATGTAATGAAAAGTCATGTCTTAACCTAGTTCTCATCCATCATTCCAATCCTAACACCATTTATATCGTCAAACTTCAGATCACAAATCAGTTTTGTCAATACACTAGAGCTCCCTTCACGTTCGTTTACTGTTTTCCCTCGCTTTCTCTCTCTCCCTCCTTTTCTGCTCTGAGAAAAAAAATACTTCTTGGGTTTCCTAGCAATTTCTATGATTTCTGGCCGACCAATATAAATTACCTTTTGCATACATCATCCTTCGTTCCTTCTGTAGATTCAACTACATGAGTTTTCTTATTTATAATATTGTTATGGCATGAATTCCCTTTTGGGGAATAAATTTGCTTCATTTCCCTTCTCTCTCTCAGCTCATACGAGCATCCCAGAAGAGAAAAGCTTCGAAGCATTTTCAAGGAAATCACATTTTCAAGTAGGCAACCTAATATTTTCCCTGAAATTTTGAATATTTTCATTCGTCAACTTTTCCTGAGACATCTGCCATTTGCAAATAGTGGCTTTTTGTTTCCTTTTTCGCATCTAAAGTCATCTCTCTTACTGCTCTTGCTTCTGATGTTCAACTTCCTGTTCAGCTCTTTTTTTCTGATCAAATTTCAAAGCATTGTCAAAGCTGTATCGACGAGGTGTCTCAATAGCAATCCTATTGCAGCTTATCAATTGCTTTATTCAACATTTGGACTCTATTCTTTTTTTGTTGACTTGCAACTTTGGCCAGCCCATCCTTAACAGCTTTTTGCTTTCATTTATTCATTTTCGTCCGAATCCAGATGAAAGAATCTCTTTCTTCTCTTTTTCCTTCTCGTAAGATGATATCGTCCTGATTTCAATTGACTCATCCTTCTCCTGCTCCAGTAAAAACCTTAAACTCCATTAAAGAGATTGACGTTGCTTTCAATAGTTTTTGGATGAAAAAGGAATTCATGTGAGTACATATTCTTTCTTGTCTCCTTTACATCTGACATTTCCTTATTGAGCTTGTATTCTCAGTTATTTTGTTTTTATTAGTTTACTTAACTTCATTCCCAGCTTTTCTCGTCTCTCATTAAGCAGATTAGACAAGATTTCTTTTCTTCCTTGTTCGACCAAAAAAATGTGACAATGGAAATTCATTAAAATGTAATAGAAAGGCTATTTCTCACTGCTTTCTCAACATTTATCATTTGTCGCCAATTCATCTCTGAGCTTTAGGGCCTTTTGTGCTCCCCAAAGCGTGATTCAAGCATGAGTAGCTCCCCACAAGACAAAAAAGTTGTTTCTGACATGAACTTGATCCTCTCTCTCATACTTTTGTAATTAAAATTGAACCAAATTAATTACAGAATGAGTTCAACCATGGCTAAACCAGCATTTAATGGCTCATTTCCTCAACGAAATGATTCCTCAACAACGAATTCTGGTAAAATCTGTTTGAAGCTAGATGTATAACTCAACAGAATGTTTCAGAGTTTTCTGGATCTCAACATAGTCTTCGGTCTAATGAAGATGTTCGTTCATCTTCACTTTCAAATATCTTTTTCAATTTTCAGATAAATTCCATTTTACAACCAGCGACACGTTTTGCTTTTGCCGACTTAATAACTTCCATCCTTCGATTAGATTTTTGGAATGAAAATGATCCACATTCCATGTATGTTGTATCTTCTTTTCTGCTCTCATATCCTTGAATATTTTTAGATTTTTCTGCAAAGTCGCCTTCCAGACGATCATTGCAATCATGGATTTACCCGATAAAACTATAAAAACTTTAAAGCTTAATCTTGAGGTTCGGAAAATAACAAAATCTATGGCGAATACCGTACTCTTCCAGGATGAACAGATGATAGGAGACATCACTGAAATGATAACTTCCATAAAAGCTGATCCACTTGTTAAAGAAAATGGCTCATTACAACTCATAGGATCAGTCATTTTATCGGTTCTACAATCAGGTTCATAATTTCAAAATTCTTCTGAATATTCATCTGTTGTCTAGGTAATTATGACAGTCGGTATAGAGTGCTTCTTAGGCATTTAGCAACGCTTCTAGCTGTGTCCTGGGATGATGTGGAAGAAGTAAAAAACAATTATCTTTATTCAATGCTTTTATTTTGTTACTTTAGTTAGAAGATTCTCTAGTGGGCTCTTCTATCGACGACGAATATGTTGAATCAGAGTAAGTACATATTTTTATTTTCCATTCCTTTTCCTTGTTTATAAAACTTTTTCAATCGTTCAGGCGAAGTGATGATATAAAAACGTAAGTGAAATGTCGTGTTGAAGTTGAACTTTATTCTTTTGAATATCTCGTTACATTGACATTGTTACCCATTCCAGGTATTCCCGAAAAGCCCGTGAATCGAAACAAAGAAATAAAAAAATTAAACGATATCTTCTCATTGGAGCAGCTGGTGGAGTTGGAGGCGTATTAATAGGTGAAATCTTAATTAGATAATTGGTGATAACCACATACTAAGGGCTGACTGGAGGGCTGGCAGCTCCCCTTGTTGCAAGTGGAGTAGGCGCTTTGCTAGGAACTGGCACTTTAGCCGGGCTGACAACAGCAGCTGGAGCTGCAGCTCTGGGAACTTCGTTTGGTATTGCTGGAGCAGGGCTATCAGGATATAAGGTGAGAATAAAAATTGGAACAAAAAAAGTCTCTGATTTGTAGATGAAAAAACGGGTTGGTGCCATCGAAGAGTTTTCAGTGGAGTCTTTAACGGACGGCTCTAGTCTACACTGTGTGTTGGTAGTTAGTGGCTGGATCGACAGGGACACGGTGAATGATATCTTTAATGAAAAAGTTTACAAATACTTTAGACACCGGAAACTGCTTTCGTTCATCAATGGAGACATTTATGTCATTCTCGAGAACAATATACTTTACGATATGAAAGTAAATATTTAACGGAATTGGGGAATGCGATCCAGTACATGATGGGCTTTGCTGTGTCTGTGGCCATTCAACAAACTTTAATGGAAACAGCCTTAGCCGGTTATTTTTCTTTTCGAAAAGTATAACCTAGAACGAGAGTTTCAGGTCTAATGACAGCTGTGGCTTGGCCTGTAGCCCTACTGTCATGTGCTTCCGTTCTCGATAATCCATGGAACGTTTGCATTGCGAGAGCGGCAGAGGTATGGTAGTCTAATATCACACTAGAAATCGAAAGTTTTCCAGGTTGGAGAACATCTAGCTGAAGTTCTTCTGAGTCGATCTCATGGGAAACGCCCCATAACTTTGATTGGATTCAGTCTGGGAGCCCGTGTAATATTTCACTGTTTATTAGCTTTGAGTAAGCGAGTGGAAAGTGTCGGTATGCTCAGTTAGATAGGTGCAGCTTAAATGATGGGGTTTTTTAAAGGAATAATTGAAGACGTCGTGCTACTAGGAGCTCCAGTTACTGCTTCACCTAAGCAATGGGCTCAACTGAGTACAGTAGTTGGTGGCCGAATCATAAATGGATATTGTGAAACAGACTGGCTGCTACGGTATAAATTATCCTTTCCTTCTATTCTTCATGCTATCTCTTAGGTTTTTATATCGCACAATGAGTGTTCAGTTTCGGATTGCAGGGACAGGCCCGATTGACAATAAAGAAAACAAAAAGATCTACAATTATAATCTGAGCCACATTGTATGTCTTGAAGAATTTTAGACTTTTTCCAATTCGTCGTTTTGTAGGTTAAAGGGCATATGGATTATGCTCGAAGGTTAACGGAAGTCCTTAATGCTGTCAGCGTTCGTGTCGGTCCACATTCAGAGGATTCCGTAATTGATTTAGCTGAACTGAGTTATTCCGCTGAAAATATGACAAAGGAAGCACAAGATAAATCAAATGGGAAATTGACTGAAGATGTTATAAGTAAAATAGATGAAGTTCATATAAGTGATGATCATAAGCCATGTCTCTTCACTCAAAATGATTCCAGCTCATCTATCTCTGATGAAAATACGAGTATGTGATATCTCTAATAGTAATACGGGCTTACGATTCTGAATGATTACTCAGTGACTGTGATATTAATTGTAAATATTCTCATTTCCTTACGAAGCTATTAACTTTTTAATTAATAAACTTAAATTTTGACTAAAACCATTGTATGTTATATACGAGTGCTGCCGTGAAACTGACTCACTGTCCATAGACAGATATAAATTTTTCAACAGAGTATGGGACAGAGTGTCAATAAGAATAGTTACCGTACACACAGTGAGGGATCGTTCTTATACAAAAACAATTAAATTAATGGTTTTGTGAAGTGTATATTCCATTTGCTATTATATTCGAATGATATACTTTGAATGCAACCGCTCTGCTCTCCTGAACATTCGTGAATGAACTACTCTTTTTGCACGCTGCTTGATATGGCTTCACGGTCATCCCACGTGCTTTAGAAACAAAGTGTTCAAAAACTATTTCAAGCTGAATAGAGGAAAAGTAATATGCTATTATTATGAAATAATTTAATTTTTGGCATTATGGATATCAATTTTTTTCGCTGACAAACAAATTATTAAATGCAAAATTTATGTCGGAAAAACGTGAATAGTTTAAACAAAAGCTTTAATAACTTATTCTGCAACACTCAGTACCGGTAATTATATTATATAATTTAATTTACAGTTTAATACGGCAAGCGTCGTGGTTGTATCGAGTGCCATGTAGCCAAGGTGTTCTGCTGTTCTGAATAAGCACGAGAGTAATGTCCCAGTTCCTGAAATTGTGTGTTGCTATGATCGTTGTAGTTGTCTAGAAATAATACCTTTCCGCTTGTTTCACGACTTATAGTGATGTGGCCAATGCTTCCCGAAGATCCATCATTCATATCGCAAACCATACTTAATCTAATGGTAGCGTTCTGACATATATTTCATATTAGTTCTTTCTAAAGATGAATGTGAACCTTAAACTTCTTTCGGCTGATGTTAAAAGTGAAAGTCTCAGATAAATCTGTTAAGCCGTTTATCAAGAACTTTCTTCTTGTCTTTTTTTTCATGTAAACTCCACTATTGGGTAATGCCAAATACACACGAACGAATACATCTGTGGTGAGAGATTGAAAAAATTGTTACTGAAATATCTTTTACTCTTGCATTCCGGTTTCAATTCCCTCAGTTTTGAGACAATGATTGTCAAGGTATCATTTTGATGATTAATAAGAGTTAAAACATCTCCGAGTCGTTCTGTCGAGTTTTCATCATAAACTGGCTGAAATGATAATTTTTACGAGTGAACACGGATCAGAAACTCTTACAGCTGGCTTGAGAGTCAATGCAATTGGTATCTTATCTTCACTCTTCATAATATCAATATCCTTCAAAGTTGAATTGAACTTGAGTTATAATTCTTCTTGTTTCTTACTTTTATTCTCAATCTACACTGACCGGCTATTCGGGCAGACTGATTCTTACTTGAGTAGAGTTGGACCAATAAAGCAATCTGTAAACAAACCATTTCTAAAAATTTATATTCTGCAAAAGGAACCTTGTCCATGTCGTCTACTCGAACGCATTGTTGAAGTAATAAACCGAAGTCGATGGATGCAGATGGTGTTGTTTTTGCCTTAATAGGTTTCTTCAAATAATTGAGAAATACAATTCAAACCTCAGTTCTCCAAAGTGGCTTCGGATGTGGCAAAAGAAAGAAGAGTAACCACACTTGTCCTAAATCTTCATGCACATCAGTGAGGTTTTCAAGTTTTATAGATAACATCTGATTTTCTCTGAATTGGAAACATTGAAATCACATCAGGTGAAGCAGTTAACTTTTCGAAGCTAAGAAGAAGATGAGCAGTAGGATTATCAGGACCTCTCGTTAGGATCAAAGAACACGAGCTATCCAGAGAATCTGTGGATATGGCTCTTTGTAGAACTTCCGGAGCAGCAATAATAATATCAGCTATAATTTTTTTCATCCGCTCTAAGAGAGTCATATGTGATTACTTGATCCATCCAGAGCTTGAGCTTCTTCAGCGTTGTCAATGGTTTCACAATCCGTTTCATCAACAGCTCTCAACTCTTCCTATTAGGATTTGTACGTATAGTAGAAGATAACATAACCTACAGTTTTATAATGAGAAGAGTCAATTATATTGCTCTCATCATCATCTCCATTCTTCTCACAAATGCCATAGCCCATTCGAACAACTTCTTCCATTGGTGTTGAACAATTGAGTTCTGTTTTATCAGAATATCTAAATGATAATAAGCAGATGTTTTGAATATAATCAAAAACCTACCTTAAAGGAATTTTTGATAAAGCCTTTGAGTTGTTGAGAATGCCTGAATTTCAAAACGTTTGAAATGAAGATAATTGAGACAGAGAGAAAAAATATATTTTGGTTCACTTAAAATGCCAAAAATGCAAATGGTGGGTTGAAGAAATTTTATTAAATTCTATGTGTGAAGAGAAGAAATGAGAAGATTCTAAGTAAACTAATCTTTTCGTTACTTCTTCTAAACTAAAAAAATGTGGGCTCCAGCATTCTTATCTGAATTCATGAGCGTTGCCAGTCATTCGAGAAGATATTTTCGTCAATCATACGAAAGGCAAATGAATTTCCATGAAAATTGTTGTATCGGAAGAATGAGAGCTATTCGCTTATTTCAATTATTTCATTTTTTTTCCGTTTCCATTGTAATTTTAATTTCGTCTAAGAAAAGGAATGTCTATAGTGAGAGAGATAAAGAAGTATTAATAAACGTATAGATGAATGCATGCTTAATCTCCTCAGAAAGCTCATTTGTGGTTTAGATAGCTAATTATCTTAATTACCTCGAGGGTAAAATCAGAAGATGAAGCAACAATGTGACATCTAAGATTATCTATGTACTAGGAATGTAATCTCTACTTCTACTTCTTCTCTCTAAGGGTTCAACACAATCTTATATATATTATATTGCATTTCCTTTTACATATAACAATAAGATTGTTGATCTTTTAAACGTTGTCAACCTTGCCAACAAGAAAGTTGCATTGAAATTTCTGTGACGTTCGTTCCATATTCATAAGTTAGTGAAACTGTCACATATAACTGACTTCTTTCTTTTGAATAACATTCTTTCCTCGGCTATTCATTTCAATGTTAGAAGGATCCAAATTAAAGCTTAAAATATGTGTTGAAGAATAAAGAAAACAAGAATACATGGCTTGATAATATCGTTCAAAACAAGATATTATATTATATGCCGTACTGTCAGGATTTAGAGATTAGAAAGAGACATTTTGAACTTTCATAATTTGAATCCTGTATTGAAGAGTGAATTTGAATTCAGAACAAGAAGCACACAAAACCCTCGTTTCATCTTAATACCATGAATCTATCATATCTAGGCAAATCAATCAGCTCTTTAGAAACTTTGAGTGTCTTTGACCATTGAAAAGCAGTGGGCGAGGTGTAAACATGAATTACTTTAATGGCTAATGATAGCAGAGATGGTTTACATGAGAAAATGTTGAACTTTTTTTTCAAACAAATTAGTTTAACGACAAGAATAACGAAACTTGGAGTTTCAAGAACGAGTGTAGAGCATATGTGAAAGGAATTTCTAAGCTTATGGGGTATATGCGTTTCTCTAATCATTTCTACAAAGTTTGCTTGAATAATTTGTTTTTAATTCACAATCCCAAACATAATTTGATCTTCGTGATGAAGTTTTCTATTTGAGGCGTTAATTGAATAATTACTTTTACTGCTTAAACCAAAAACCAACCAATATTCTCTTCTTGAAGCTTATACCATTTGCTATTTGATCCATAGAACGGCAAATCGTTACTCCATCGCAATTCATAAGTATAGAATAGTAATAATAATATTAATAAGAACAACACTATTATCAGGAATGTCAATAGATCCATCTTTCTGAAATGCATAGAATCTTTAGAATAGAAACAACTCATTTCATTCATCTACAGCACGATTTGGGGAAATATTTTTCAACAAAATAATGGAATCATTGTAATTTTGTTTTTTTATTTTTTTGCTAAATTGACTAAAAAATCTTGCACTCAATCTAGAGAGAGAGAGAGAGAGAGAGAGAAAGAGGAGGAGGAGAGAGAGAGAGAGGAGAAGGACTGTTTGGTAAAGATCATCAAAGCTCAAATCATACCTTAAACAGAAGTGGATTCCTTAACTTATAACATTGAGAAGAAGAAAAACTTTGAATCTGTTGTCGATGAGATAGCTTAAGGACGTAAAGGGGAAATATCAGAATTTTTCCAAATTTTTTGTTTTTCATCAAACAAATCAATTGAACGAGCATTTACTTCAAATTGAAAAATTAAGAAAAGTAAAGAAGGAACTTCGTAAGAAAAATTATTTATGAATTCTATGATCAAATAGGAAAAGTGGCAAAAAATATTGTTCAGCTCGGTTTCATCGCAATCGAGGAAATTGAGATGATTGGAATTGAACAAAAAGAATGAAAAAGATGTTGTTCTAATATTTTTTGTTTCTGTCTATCTCTCTTGCTTTCCCTTTTTACCTCTTCCTATCTCTCTTTCTCTCTCTAAAATTTCAAATTTCAACGTTGTTTAGCATAAAAAGTTGACGTGAGAATCACGTGAAGATTGTGGAAGTTATAACTACATTTTGGGCATGTCAGATTTAGTGAACGGTTGCTTTTCTAGTTTCAATCATTCAGAAGCATATCGATGAACATGATAGCAGTGATAATAGATTAACATTGTTGAAGTTTTGATTTATGAAGTGAATGAAAATATGAAAATGCTCCAGTCGGTTCACATAACATATAAACAATGAAAGATGAAGCTAGCATATCTTAGCTTTAGAAGATGAATTAATTAAGAAATCTATTAGAATATTATAATTAAATTAAGAGAGAGAGAAGCTTCTAGTTCTTTCTTCAAGATCTACAAACTTTCAAAGGACATTCTCAGCTTTTTTTTTCATGAAGTCAATTTGATGAGCTTTTTACTATAAAATGAAACGAGAAAAAACGAATTCGTGTCTTCTCATTTGTTTCTGAGAGTCAGGTTGGATTTAAGAAAACCCAGGAAAAAATGTAATTCCAGGAAAGAAGAAAGAGAGAGAGAGAGAGAGAGATGTTTGGTAGAAATAAAAAAGGCGAAAGCTTCACCCATGCTCTACCGCCACAACCATCAGAATGCTTCTCTATTTCCATTTGAAGAGCAGAAGCTTTAATGAAATTACACGAAAACGATTCATTATTGCCTCTAGACATTTCTTTGAACATTTCTCTTTTCTTTTATTCAACATTAACGTGTAAATGAACATTCACCAAAAATTGACACAATTTCATATGGAGAAGAAGTCTGAAAGAGGAACAAAAAGTTGAAATTCGATTAAAGTTATGAGAGAAGTTCTAAATTGAGTTAATCTGAATGAATTTGAAGCGTTTAGTTCTATGCTTGCTGAGAATTAGAATTGGAAGAGAGAAAACTGTAAACTCTCATACATGGATATTAATGAGGAGAAGTTAGACAAGAACCAGATTACCAAATCATCTCGTAACATCTCCTTCAGTCCCAAGCATGATACACGAGGTATCTTTCTTTTTCTCTCACTCTCATTCTCAGCTCGAACGTTTGCAACTGTTCGAACGAAATTTGTGAAAACAAAAGAAGGTAATGAATCGAAGATGAAATATTCGAGCCATTCTTTAAAGAAAATTAAGTGCCAAACTGGCTTATGGCCGGATTCAGATGTTTCTGATACGATCTATTAGCTATAGCGTTGACAGCATCGAGAAGTTCTGGAGATCTGGCAAAAGAAGTTTAAGAGAAGAGAGAAAGATTTCAGACTGGATAACTATTTCGTTAAAACATTTTTAACAAATTTTTCACAACGATAGTGGTAAGAAATAAAAAATATTTTCATTTTGCTGCCAATAGCCTCACAAGTTCATAATGAAATTGGCCTAATGTAGAATGAACTCATTATTTTCATAAACTCTAGCACGTCAGATGAGAAAAGAAAAAAAGCTGATAATTGAATACAACCGCTCTCTTCATCTGAATATTGTAAAAATGAACTCTGAAAATGCATAGGAATTCACGTGTACATTTGACGTTAGAATTCTTCAATGGAGTCAAACGATCCTAGTTATCGCCTGAGGCTATTCAACTTTAAAAACTCATTTTTGTTCTCACAACTTTATGAGAAATAAAAAGAAGCTCTCCGGTTTTTTTTGCGTACGCTCCTTCATCCATCAAATGTTTTTATATTCTTGTCAATTTATATGAAATGGCATAGTTTATAGCCATTTTTAGAAAATAAAAGTTTGTTCATGACCTTTCTCTCCACATAGCAATTCTTTATTCATTTCTAAAATAAATTTTTCTCCATCTTCTTCTTCTTCTTCTTTTTTTGTTTTACTTTAACGAAAAAAAACTGAAGGAGAGACGAAACACAATTTGAAAACTAATGTTTCCCTCCTTTACCAAGCTCATTTGCATAAAAGATGCTTAAAAATAACTTTTTTTTTCTCAACTTGTCAACACTTTTTTTCTTCTTCAGCATCTTATCCTTAAATTGTTTGAAATGTTAAAGTTTGTCCAACAGAGTATGTTTTCAGCTGTATTTCCGTCAAGCGAAATGTATTTCGACCATGGTTATTCCATAAAAATTGTAATTTTCTTTCTCTTTTTGCTTGCAATTATTTTTTTCTTCTTAATCTTTCTTTCTTTTTTACAAATATAATAACATTTGAATATTTTATTTATTTGCAACGAAAGATTGTGAAAGATGGAAAAAGAATATAAAAGTTGCCGCTTGACTGACTTCAGTTTCACAGCTTTTTTACCTTCGAAGCTCTGAGACCCCTTCGACTCTTTCATGTCTTTGTCACCTTTTAGGTTCATTGCTCACATTGAACTTTTGCCTTTCCTTCTATTCCTCCCTCTCTCTCTATCTTACTCCCTCTTAATCTCTCATTCTTGCTTTCTTACCATCACTTCGTATTGTCTCTCGTAGCTTCATTGTAATTCTTCTTCAGAATTTCTTTTCATCCTTTCTTTGAGGATTTTTTTTCGTGACTTTCAAGACTTATTTTGATTGCGATCATGCGGCCGGAAAGGACTCGGTAGTCATAGCAACTTATTGACTTTCTTTGCAAATCTTGACAGCTTCTACTCGCAAATCTTTGACTTTGAACCTTCTTTTCTGTCCAAGAAACGAATGCTTCTTCAACTTTTCCAAGTTTTCATCTAATCTATGACCTATTTTGGTAGCGATTACAACAACTCCCACACAATTCAGCTTTAATTGCAAGCATGATGATGAATCTTCCTCTTCTTTCTTATCGAATGGCTTCCTTTATTTCTTTTAATAAAAACTTTTAATCTCTTTATGTACTTAAGAACAAAACAAAGCTGCTCTTCTCTCAATCATTCTCGTCTCTTCATCACTATCTCTTCCATGCCAGTTCTATCTACCATATGTATAGTCAGAGAGAGAAGGCTAAGTACAAAAGGCTTTTCTTGATTGAGAATGAGCTGGAAATCATAGGAATCCTCATCTCTCATCTCTTGTTTCCCACCCTCCTTCAAAAGTATTGAAAATATTTTTTATTCTAGAATATCATTACATGTAAACGGAGCCGAATCATATGAATTGAACTTATCTCTCAGCTAATTATAGACAAACAGTCTCCGCTTCTCTCATCATAAATCAAATTTTGATGTTTTCCCTGATAAAGCTCACTTATCTCTTGCTATTTTCAGCTGTATAGAATTCCTTTTTTATCAGATGTCACATGTGTTGATTGATAAATAAATCTTGTTGACGCCCAACTAGAATTATATATTCTCATACAAAAGAAGTTTGGATTCTTCCTCCATTTGCTACTTTCTCTCCGTTCCTTTCATAGCGTCGTCCTTCCCTCTTTATCTTTTTTTCTTCTTTTTCAGAATTTCTTCTAGTTTATCCTCCTCTTTCCCTTCCTTCCTTCTCAGAGTTCCAGCAACAACTTTATTCTCACGTTGACACTTTCTCTTTTTGTCGCTCTCTTTCCATTTCATTTCCCTCTCTCTCTCACACCCTCTCTCTTCTTTTTTTACTCTTTAATAACTATATACCTTCCCTCCATCCTATTTTATTCATTCTCTGCTTCGTTTTTCAGTATTTTAGTCATTTATTCTATTTGAACAAACAATATGATAGAATTTATCAAATCTGTTATTCTACTTCTATCATTGACACTGCAAACTAGATTCTCGCATTACTATTAAATAACCTTTCTATCACTTCGCTTCTATAAATTTCGAATTTCTTTTTGAATCTTAAGAACCTCAACTTGTCATCCCTGCTTTTACTCGTAATTGTCTTTATGCGAAAAAAACGAGTTAAAGATGAAAAACAAAAAAATGCACAACTTCTTTCTTCTAATTTTTACTCCAAGTCTCTCTTGCTCTGTCTTGCTCTCCATCTCCCTCTATCTTTTTCTTCTCTCTCTATGTCTTTCTCTCTGTCAAATGAATGTGCAATGAAGGAAAAACTGTATTTCTCTATATTTTATCAAATTGTATTGGTATCAAACACGACTCGAAGCTTAAATGATGAAACAACCGCTTCTGTGCACCCACGCGAAATTGAATGAAATTGAGCATTCACGTGATATTCACCACGTGGAAATTTGAACACTTGACATGCACTGAAGTTGCAAGTCGTTTCTGGTGAATGTTCGAAAAGAAAAAAATGTTTATTTCAATCCTTTTTTTCATGTCTGACATCTCTTAATTCCATATAATCTCTTTTCGGCGTTTTTTTTTGTTTGAGAAAAGAACGGAAAGATGTTAAAGCTGTGATTATCTATCTTGATTCATGACCATTAGTTATTGCAATGAGTTGTTTTTGAGATATAAAGATGTTTATAGACAAAAACAAAAGCTTTCACAATGATAAATCCTTTCAAACCAAAAAAAATGTTTCAGAGAGAATATGCAATGATTCACTGTTTTCCTATAAAAATGAAAAATTACCATAATATTTTGTGTTATTCATCCGGTCTACGAATAGAAGAAATGTGTGTTTGTCTAAAGACCTCAACTATAAACATTGACATAACTTATCAATTAATTTTATTAATTAAAAATAGTTTAAGTTCTCATCTATTTATTTCTCTCTTCCACCCCCAGAAGCTTCTCTCATTTTCTTTCCTCTTCCGTTTAACAAAACAGCCAAAAGATTAAGTTCACAGTGTTCCAATCGTCATGAGAGGAGAACATGGCAATTCAGAGAGGGTGGGAGATGACTGTTCATTTTCATTTCTATAATTTGCCTGAAACATGCATTCTCATTTCCACCTTCATATTCTCTCCCATCCTCCTCTCTCACTTTTCCTCTCATCATCATGCCCTCATCTTCCTTCCGTCCTATCTTTATTCTCTTCTCTTTTTATTTTATTATAAAAATTCGTTGTAATTAAATTTCGAAATGAAATCAAACTAGAAATTGATGTCACTATCAGCTGTTTGTTGGTAAATCCAATGGAAATGATGTGAGAAAAAAGTTTTTTCTGTAACATAAAGTAATTGAAAATCTAATATTGTTCTATTCTGAACATTCTTTTTGTGTTCCAATCGCAAGAATAAACAGACACTATCAGTTATCTGTTCAATCAAATAATGTGATTTTTGGTCATTTTATCCTCTGGAATCATGCGATGTTAAGCTTTTTCACACACGAAATATGTACATCTGCCAAACCGAGTACTTTCAGTATTACTATTCTTGCTTTGCTGTCGTCTGCAGCCATTATCGTCTAGGTATGGATTGTTGTGGTCTCATATATTCACAACGTCTTTCATACTGGACTCAATAGACTTAAATTCAGAGCTCAATTTTTTTTTCTGTATAAAATAGTCGTTTTCCCATATTTTGAATAGGAATGACGCTTCTTGAAGGCAAATATGCCTTAGCGGCTTCCAGACGCTTATGAAGCTTCGTAAGAAGAAGCTTTGCATTGTAAAAGCGTTTAATGAAAGTTCTTCTTTAAAGAAATAGATCGAGTTGCCTATGCTTAAGATGAAATTAGCAAGAATTTGGCGAATAAGCGTTGATTTGAATTGTTTTTGAAGTATCAAACATTAGAAAGTTGTCATTCGTAATCTCTTCTTTCTGATTTGCTTGCATACTAAGTCATTTCTGACTGAATTCCTTTCATGGAACTTCTTCAGTTTCATTAATCCTCCATTCCTATTCTCACTCTTCCAATTCCCTCTCTTTCTCTAGCTACCTTGGTTCTCCATTCTCAATCTTAACTATTTCCAACTTTCGTATGTCATCGTTCTAAATCATCATCTCAGCCAAATTGCTTCCTCAACACCCACACCTCTTTAAGTCTCTTTTTCGAAGCTCTTCTTGTTCTTCACAGCCGGAAAAGCTTGATGGCTTGTTTCCGATGCTGTTGGAGAAATCTCAACTAAAATTTTTTGTTTCTTTACAATTTTAACACATTTTGTGCTCCATTTCGAGTACTTCTTAAGCTTCAACAACTATTTTCGAGAAAAACTTTCAACCATTTCGTGTCGGTTAAGAAACAAAAAAAGGAAAAAAGAATTTTGTTATGGATGAAAACGTCTCAAATAATCGTTTGAACGGTTGAAAAAAAATTGTTTTTGTAATTATTAATTCACAAACTCTCACTTACACTTCATACGTCCGAAAAGAACAAAATGAAAGCTGAGTCTCAGCTTTGTAATATTAAAATGAATAAGAAATTAATCTGTTAACGAACAAGTCGATTATCTCTTTGCATGTATATTGAGTATATTTACATGAGCTCATATTTCCAGATTTTATTGGACAAAAATCCATCTCAACTTTCGCTTAACCAATAATTCCAGATAAAACTTTTTTTTCCTTTCTATCTCTCATTTCATTATTATTATTATTATTTTGTGAATAAAAAAATCATTTCCATTAGGGAATTAATTATTTTGATTATTTGCACATGAAACTCCAATCATTGAAAAGTTGATTGATGGAGATTTCATTAACTTCCATCAGGGCTTTCCCCACTCTCTACCTCTCCCCATCTCTCTCATTTGGAGCTCTCTAAAAGTTCATCCAACATTCGAGGAATAATTTTTACTTTTTCGATGATCATCTGTAAAAATTAATGAGCCGCTTGAAAAAAGAAGGGGGGGGACTTCCACTTTATTCAAATAGCCATTTTTGGTGTTTTAACTGTTGCCTAAGGGTGGAGGGGGGAAGTAGAGAGAGAGAACTGAAAGTCCTTCTCTTTCCTTCTTCGCAACTAACCAACGAACGAACAACGACTGTTGTTTCGTCGAACGTAAAGCTGAATTCATAAGAATAAAAAAAATAATTTTATCTTAAATTATTATTATTCAATGGAATAAATATTAAATAATATAGCCTATAATAAGTTATTTACATACGTTTTCATTCAGAATTGTGTGTGTGTGCTATGGTTGTATTCCAAGTACTTAACAATAATAGTCAGAAATGAGGTTCAAAGAACAAATATTTCTTCGTAATAATTCTTTCTTCTTCTTCATCTTATTTTTTTTTCTTTATTCAAATATCATTTTTGTATTGATGAAGATGTTCTTTTATATGGCTTCATATCCAAGCATGTCATATGTATCATTATATCTTTGCTTATAATCTCATCTCCTCCTCCTAAATCTCTAGAAATGTGATGTTTTTCCATTTTGTTCCACTAATGTTCTATTCACAAGCACCTGTTGTATACATATAGAAAGAGAGTTGTTCTTCTAAAGACTATCAAAAACACATCACAGTCTGTTTGATTCTTTAAACCCACAAGCCCCATATACTCTCTTCACCGCTTCTCATCAATTTTTGCGTCTCTTTTTTTTTTAACCTCCATTCATTTTTCTGCTGTTCATCTTATTGACTTTAAGCGACTAAGCATTCTTTAATCGTTTTCTGACTCACTTAAACTCATCATCATCATCATCATTAGTTGTTCGACAAAACAGCTTCGTTCAACCATGTTCTTCATTCACGTTTTCCCACGTTCTGCTTCATGTTCATTCCAATTCCAATTTAACTTTGCACTTGGATAGAAAAGATTGTGAACACGCCCTTCAATCTCAAAAATATCCTCTTTTTCCTTTTCAAAACGTTAATGTACTCGGATTTTCATTACTTAAGGATTCTGAACTCTGAAAATTTAAACAAATTTTTAGTCTTTTCCTATTTTTCTGCACATACACATACATATATACACATACATTCACACACATACTAACACACACACACACACAGACACACACACAGAGACTCTCACAGCGTTTCAGTATGATGTCATTTCCGAATGAGTAGTCATGTCCCTTGAATAACTTCATGTGGTGAGAGAATCTTACCTGTTTCGATTGACCATTCTGCCACTTATACGCATTCCATTGCTTTATATACTTATGTGTATAAAAATAGATTTTTTTTACTTTATAATAGAATTTTCTTCATATTCAAATAACAATTTCATAAATGTACAAGTATTATTTCATTTTAATTCATCTTTTATTACTTCCAAAGTTCCATACTTTCAGTTTCTTCTCTAACCATATAGTATTCGTTAAAAATTGAAACCTGGCACGTCATTTTCCATCAGCTGTTTCTATCCACTTCATACACTCCTTTCTTTCCATATATAGTACTTCACTCTATTTCACTTTACTCTCTACAGACAGAGCATTTTTCCGTTTTACTCTCCTATTCCTACATCAATTCCCTTTCCTGTCTTTAACATGTTTTTGTCGTATTCATTGTTCAAAGTTATCTGTGATTGTTCTCCTCCCTTGACTCTTCTAAATAAAGACTAATTGACTTCATAATACCCTCTGGGCTTTTCAAATGTAATCACGAAAACGTCAACCTTTTTTCTCCATATTACATCATTTCGTCTTTAATCGTTTTAAGTAGTATGTTAGTCGATTAAGAATTTTACAAAAATTTTTTGAAGCTCATATCGTCATTTTTCTGTTTGTCTCCAACTTTTGCTTTGTCCCTCATTGTCTCTGTCAATGTCTTTGTGTCTCTCTCTCTCTCTCTCTTTTTCTTTTACCTTTTATCTGTCAGTCCATTTCTTGAAAAATGCTTCAGTTTTATAAGAAAATGTTTTTGTGCTCCCTAGCTCCGATGATATTATAGATTCTGTGATCATGAATTCAGTTTTGATAACACTTTTCTGGTCATTTTTCACCGTGTGTTGATGTTTATCTGTAATCGTATAATATGATATATTCTATTTTATAATTCATCTTATGATTGAGAAAATATATTTCAGAATATTAAGAAAAAATAATTTTGTGTAATTCTGATCGTTTTCTGGCCATGTCATGTTGGGTGTTCGCAGACCAAGTTTAGTCCGACAAATGGCTTTTCGTCAGGACTCCAACGATGTAAAGAAGCTTATGACACGTGAAAAATGAACAAATAATTTATTTTTGTAGTCAGATATCAGTATTCGTCATGGACATCTAGCTGCTTCAACTCCATTGCCTGATAGTCCAAGACCACAAAAAGAAACGAAGAAAGGTATGATTGACTATTAATGATCACAATTTATTCTGATGTTTGCAGTTGAAATATCTCCTTCATCACTTACAGTAACTGTAAAAGTTCCAGAATTGAAGAAAGGTAAGCATCAAACATGATTCAACAGTGAAGAAGTTTGCAAAGATGATTTTTGGAAATTGCTTTATGTGCTTCAAAGAATAGAAGTTGTTTTTGATTTTTGATGTTTCCTGATTTCAGAAGACACAATTATTTGTCGTGATCCAACCGTTCTGGATAAGAAACAAACATGATGAAGATCTCCTCTTATCAACTTCTATATTAATTTTTCTTTCTTTATTCACCTCTTCCTTTTCCTACATGCGCTTGAATACTTGTGATCATTTTCACGAAACTCGTAGATTTACAGTTTTCTGAACAATTGTAAGCAGAAAAAAATATTTTTATATGTATATGGGAATGTATTCTTCATAATGTAACATAATAAACATTTAAAATACAAATTATAAGAGCAGTATTGAATAACAGAAGATTTATCTCAAAACGTTCTCTAGAGATGAGCTATTCCTGATGATACACACACCACATATACACATGTACATTCACATCCACACAAACTTTCGGATAAGAAAACATTCTCATTCATTATACTCATATTTGGATCATAAAACGCTTTCTTTTCTCACTCTCACTGAACTTTCCTTCTCTAGACTTCTCTTATACTCTCTATTCTAGCTCGTCTACCTTCACGTCAAACAGAATTTTCTGATCAAATTGGAGTCAGTCTTTTCCATAATTTTCTCTTGTTACCTCAAACTTTTATCATGAGAAATGACACAAAACTTGATGAACTGAATGATGGACTCTCTGAGAGAGGATTACTTTCTCAGAAAGAGAGAAAAAATCTTTTTTCTTCTCCTGTTATTTGAGAATTTTTTTTTCTGCTTCTAATACTTGAGATCATTGTTTTGCCCCAACAAAAATATTGTTTCTCCTTAAGCTAGGTTATAAAGAAACCTTTGTGAGTTCCATGTCGCTCATCTGTATTTTTTGCAACCGAACAGCTTAACCTAATCATGATGTCACAAAGTTCACGATAACCGCTTCTTTTCATTTTACAATCCATTTATCTCTTTGAACTTTCTCTTTAAGGACGATAAGTAATTTTTTTAACGAAAATGCTTAGAAAAGAACTTTTTCTCTTTGCGAAAATCGCATTTGAACGAGCAAGACTTTATTGTATCTCCCCACCCAGACAACTACCCCTCGTTTATTAACTTTCTTCCAATCCTAACAACTTGTACCCTCTCTTTCTCTTTCTCTCTTTATTCAGAGAGCTCTCTACGCGACTTTCCTTCATCTGACACATTATACGCGTTGAGCCTTCACAGTCAAAAAACAAGTTTTTGATTTCTCAAGCATTAGCTTTGAAGGTTCAACGTTGTTTGTTTCAAGAGACATTTTAAACAATAATTTCATTCTCAGTTCATTTCCAGCTCTCCTTCACATTTCCTTTTATGGTACTAAAAACTATTTTGAATAAAAAATAATTTATAATAGCTCACATTACATTAAACAAAACCTCTTTTTTTTTTGTTTTTTTTTTCGTTCGATGTGATTCTTATGAAGCATTTCCTCACTGCTTCATGAAAACTCATGATTCCCCTTCTATCTCAAATTTGGACAGTTTATTCGATTTCTGCAGTTGTAGGGAGAGATCAGAAATGAAACTCGCTTGCTCTGCCATGCTTCTTGCCTCTTACGTCAAACGAAGGATCTCATTCTGAAAGACGTGCAGATGAGCAACGAAAAATTTTTTTCTTTCAATTTCACGTGTAACTGATGATTTACATATTCATTCGTATTTTTCTCCCAAAGTTGTTTCTCTTCTTCCATTTCTCCTGCTCCAGAAAACCTCAAAAAATTACTTCTCTCCCATCCTTCAGCTTCATTTTCTGAATTACTTCAGGAATTATATTTATTTGACTTAGTAACATCTGTTTGTGGAAAAAAGGAACTTCATGTCGACTCACAACTCATCAATTAGTTGTCTTCGTAAGACATCTTTTCCCTTTTCAGTTCATGGAGATACGAGAGAGACAAAGTGGTCACTAAGTCTAAGAATATAAAAAAGTTTTAGTTTTAAAAGGAGTACATGTTGAAAGAGAAGAAGAAAAAGATTGTCTGACGATGACATTTAACATAAATCATCCATTTTTAGAAGCTCTCTTGCTATCTCCATTTCTTTCTTACTTCCTCCCTCTTCGAACTTATAAAACTTATAAAACATAAGAAGTTAAGTATAAATTTCTTTTTCCTGTTCCCACCCCTTGTCGTTTACTCTCTCACTATTTTTTCCGCTCAAACTATATTTTATGTAAGCTGTTTCACACTTAGCAGGTACTTCAAAGGTAAAAACATCTATTATTGAAATGCAAATGAACTCACCTAAGTTCATCTTCTCGTATCCATGAATATTCGCGCTTTACTTCCTTTATTGTTTTAAAAGTCATGAAACGGAACCATGTGCTAGTGAAATTGAACTAAACTCATTGAGCTTTTCGACCCTGCTTCATCTTCATCTCCCTAATGTTGTTACAGAAGGGATTTCTGAGATCTTCTGCTTCCAAGGAAGAAGACGAAGAAGAAGAAGAAGAAGGACAAACTAATATTTCACGTTTCCACGTCAACTACGTGAAAACAAAGGAGACATGAGGATCTTCATTTTATGTTGTAGACGTCGAAGAAGCGGTTGCTATTTCTATCTCAAATTCGCACAAGGCTGAAACCACACCTTTTTAGTTGTTTTTCAAGATGCGTAATCAATATCCTCAGCTTGTTAGTAATTCACAAAATTTGTTGAGAAAACTTTTTATTTTCGAGAGAACTTTCTTTGATTGAAATGCAGATATTTCAAACTTTTTAAAAGTAAAAGAGTCTTTGGCCGACAGAAGCCCTCCCTGAGGATTTTTTTCTTTTTTCTTGTTTTCATTTGTTCAACTTCTTGTAATTATTTATAATTTTTTTGTCTTTCGTCTTTCAACCTTGAATTTCACAAAATGAAAAGTTCTTCCTTGAGTGAATCGCTTTGAGCTCATCTGAACTGACTGCCTTTTTGCTCCAATCAGCCAGTTAGCATTTCCTTTACTCTCTTAAAGATGTAGCCAGAGGATGCGAAGGAATTTTTGTGAAGACAAAGCGTCATTGGAGAAAAAAAGAGCAAAAGACGGAATAAAACAAATCCAGAAGTTGTCGCCATAGAAGAAGAATTAAGTGAGAAAAATGGCAAGCAATGCATCTTACGTTTGTCGTCGTTTAAGCTCATTCTTAAAGAGATGAAACTCGATCGTTTTTTTGTCATTTTGTTTTCGAAATATCTCTTTTTCAATTTTTGTCCTTTTTCTTTCCATTTTGAAGTTCTTATCGAGAGAAGAACAGAAGGGAAGACGAGGATAGAGAGGGAAGAAAAAACTAAAAGAGAAGAAAAGAGGGGGGGGGGGAGAGTGAAGGAGCAAACTGAAAATCTGCAATACGTCAATTAGGACTATTTTTGCTAAAACTGGTATTGGTTGTATTTGAAAGAGAGAAAGATAAGGAAATCTTGTCATTTCCTTTTTTATTCTGTTCTCTGCTGTTTCCAAAAGCAGAAGCATTTGTGAGTCAGAAAAAAGACGTCAAGTTATCTGATTCCGTCATCATCATGTCGTAGCTTAGCTTCATCTTTCTGTCTTCCACTCACTTACGAGTGCCGTCAACATTTTTTTTTCTGAATTTTTTTGCGAGCAAGAAACAATTAATTAAAGATGATACAGTTGGGTAAGACTGCTTGCTTCTAACGACAATATAAATCATTATGTTAACCTAGGTGACCTCATAAGTTGGAAGAAATGAGCTTTCATATGAATATTTCATTGAAATAAGCATTTACTTCGTTTTTACTTGACAATTTATTCAAGATCAAATATATAATTCATTCAATGTATTCATTTTCTACTCCAAATTTTAACTTATCTTTTTTTTCTATTCAGAATACTAGATGAGCTTTGAATTAAAACTGTATTTTGCCTTCATGCAAAAGCTCCCTCCTCATAATACTTCCCCGATTTGCCTCCCTTTTTCCCTCAATAAACTTCGTTTACTCTTTCAATGTGTCAAAATATCAAAAGTATTTTTTCCGCGACATCCTTTCAGAGTTTCAAAGACTTTTAAATGTTCTTTGAAAACTGTGTTGGAACAAATCAAAAATCTCAAAGAACATCCACACTGTTAGATGAATAGAAACGATGCGAATATGTAATTTTCTGTCATCTTCCGGAGAATTTTTGTCTCTATCTATTCATCTACAGAAACAAATTGTAATTGTTTGGTTTTTCAGAATACTTTAAGCAGCATGAACTTCTCCGTTTCTACTTAAAGTCTTCATTTGGAGGCATCAAACCAACCATCAATTAGGTAAATTTGCTTGCCAAGTCAAGCAGATTCTATTCCAGAAGTAAAGAGTAAAACCTTTCGACTGAAAGTATATAAAGGAAATTCAAGTAAGGTATCGGAGTATGTCCACAACTGAAAAAGCACTGATTTCAAGAATGGTTGATCCTTTGACGAAAGTCTCCATACTCTCACCTTTGGCAATGTTGCAGCTGCATCATCATAAGCCTAAAAAAAGTTGGATAAGGAGGTAAGCATTTACAAGTCTACTGCTTGATCCCTGTAAAGAAATAATTTCAATATAGATATAGGGAGATAGCTTGTGATATCTCATTCCACTATGTAATGCATGAATCCCTCTGTTGTTGTATACAAGGCGCGATTTTTAAAATGTTTCTCGTATATACATATCTCTAATGATTCAAATTGTACAGAATTGTAAATTTCTTTTTCGAAGCAATTGCAACGAATAATTTAAGATCTTTTTTTCATACACATCACGCAAAAAGTCTTTTATTTTCTAAATATTTCAAAGGAAACACAAGAAACTGCAGATTGTTATGAGGAATAAGAAATTACAGCCGTCTTTGAAGCATCTACTCTTACTGACCTGCAATTGTTTCAATATTACCTTTCCTTTTTTTTGTTTTTTATACTATTTGTTTACAACTTCTTTTTTTTGTGGTTGAGTATCATTATAATCGATCCGAACTTTCTTTCCGTTCTTCTAAGGGAGGTGGGGGGTTTCGTTTTCAGAATACTTGGAGAACCTTTCATTTTTTGCCGACACCTCATCCGATTTTATGTGATTTATGTTCTTTTTATTTAAAAAAAACGGAATATTGAGTAAGCTGTTGCTGTGTGCTTTCACTTTCATTTCAATTTTGTTCGACATTTTTTCCTTTTTCTGAACTTTTTCTTAATTTTTTCACAGCTTATTCATTCGGAATAGCATCGAAAAATAACTTCCTGAAGAGTTAGTTTCATACGGCATGAGGTTTTTCTACTTTTTTTTTTGGGACTTAGTCGAATCAAATTTCATCTGTAATCCTTCCGGAAAATTGTCATGCGCGGAAGTCTCAATTTTCTATTTTCTGTAGATCCTTAGTTTACACGTGTTCTCGCGAGGTCACGTAATCCACTTGTTTGCTCTCAGGTCAGAGTTTGGAAATCTTAATTTATCCGAAAGAAAATCCTAGAAAAGAAACGAGAAAATTCATTTTCTTCTATTTATAGAATATACGAAGTATTTGAACTTTTCATCAAAAGATTAGAAAAGCGATCGTTTTTCTGAAATACTCCTTCCTACTCTTCAATCCCTTTGGTGGCACCAAATGGAGAACTTTCTCTCTCCAACTTTCTATTTCTTAAAGAATGGGAAGAGTCCCGTCGCCACTGTTAGCACATCATGTCTTCTAATCATTTTGGTGTTTATTTGATTATATCTCTTTTATAAAATTTATTTTTCGCAAAAAATCTGTTGCTGTATCCAGCAAACATTCAATTTCACCTTTTCCAAGAGTAACACATGTCGTTTCATATGAATCTGAATATTCACAAACATTGCACGCAAAATCCATGTGAAGTTCTGAAATTCATTTTTTTCGTTCAATCCATTTCCATTCATAATGTGACAAACAGATAGTTTGTGTTAGTGCTTTCAGTCATATGTATATGCCGTCAATCAGGAGACTCATCTCTAAGCTTTTTCTTATCAAATACTTGAAATAAAAGGATTAAAACTACTTGTGAGAAATATAAAGCCTCTCTCTCTCTCTCATACAATACATAGAACTTCCTCTTTGTATGACATGAAGCTTTCCTCCATTCAACATTTATCCTCCCGTTTGTGCGTTCAAAAATGAGTTTTGAGGGCAAAAAGTAGGAGAAGCTGCAAAATACGTGAAAATACTTTACAGAAGCGTGAATATATAATTCCTTTTTTTTTTATTCAAATTTTCAAATTTTTTCCCAAAAACTTCCAATGTTCACTTGTTGAGAACAATTGTTTGTGTGATGTAAGCTGTGAGATAACTTTTTTTCTTTTTTTTTCTCTTTTTTCATAAGAAAAAGTAAATAAATAGAAGATTCCATTCATATTTATCTTTTATTTGACTTCAAATTCTTACAAAACGTTTGAGACTTCAATACAAAAAAAAAAAGACTATTCTTCCATTAATTGATACTTACATATGTATTTTTAAATCATCTTCCTCCCTCCTTCTCTAGTTTCTCTCTATCTTTCTCTCTTTCACTCTCATTCTTCCTCATTCCCCTCAATGGAAACTTTATTCAAAAAGGCCGGAAGCCGCTTTATTCTCTTTTTTCCATCCTTCTTTCTTTTTTTTCCTTCTCAGCTTGTTTTTTTATCTTTTCTTAGCTTTCATCCCATCTCTCTCTCCTTCCCATCTTTCGTTATTTTGATTCTTGTCGTTTGGAAATGACAAAAATACTGTTTTGTGTTCGAAACTTTTGACTTTAGAGCTTCTGATTGGCAATTATTCCAATGATAATTGCATAAATATTCCATCATCTTTTGTTTCGAGTGAGAGTGAAGATTCTTTCAGCTAATCGAAGCTGAGTAGCACTACCTGTCTGGGACTTGTCTTTCTTAGCATATTTACGTCTACTCTGATATAATTTGGATGTTATTTCTGTATGGCATTAAGAGAAAATGAAAAGAAAGATGGGTGGGTCATTTTGTAAAGAGCCAACGAAACAACTATTCAGGAAGAGAGAAAGAAAGAGAAAAAAAGGTTGAAGGAGATAGAGAGCAAGAAGGTTAATGGGAGGAATGATGTCAGTATGTAAATCAAACAGTTGTTTTGTGTATATGTATCTACTACCATCTTCTATCAATCTCATTTTATTTTCGATTGAAATCTCTCTTTCTTCTTCTGATGAGAAAGTTTTTGAAAATATTTATGTGAAAGAAGATGAAGTAATAGAGAAGACACACATTGACTTTCACTAACTGATTTACAGTTTTCTTACTTTTCGCTCTCAGTTATCCCATCTGCTCTGAAACAGTGAAAATGAACGTCTCTTAAGGATGAAAAGATAAAAGGATCAATTATCAGAAGCTCTGATGGATAATACTCAGAATGAACTTCTGTCGAAATGTTTTTGGCATTTCTCTTTCATTCAGCTGATCGATTTCTGTTTTCTTTTAAATTTTAATTAGAATTATGATGTGTTTGTTTGTCTTTATTATATTTCCTTTTTTAGTGTGAAAAAAATCTTTTTTTTTTACTTTCCGTTAATATATTCAACCGATCTGTGCATCTGACACATTCACAATGAACTGCTCTCTAGGTACTTTTCCACGTGAATGACGTCAGTACACGGAAGAATTTTGTCAATTAGCATAAATATAAAGCTCTATTGAAATCCTCTTTTTTCAAAATCTTTTACCTTCACCCTCTGCTTCGTATTGTTTCATTCTTTGTGAACACGTGATTCTCGCATTCTCTTTATCTCACCCAACTCAACTCATTCACGTATTCATGTTTCACTGTAGTCTTATACACATGGCTCATGGAACGCACGTCAACGTGCATAGCATACAATCATTCATATCTGAGCTTTATCTCAATATATTTGCTTATTAAATAAGTAATCTTCTAGTTCGAGTTCTCACGTAATTAGTCCATTCAAATGAAAGTTGTGTTCCTCTAAAAAGCTGTTTGTGGCACCATTTACAACCAATCCTCGAACAAACCTTGGTTTTTTCCATCAATTTTTTCATTCAACTTCGTTCAGTTTTCTCAGTATTTCGAATTTACTAATTGACGATTGTTGTTCCAGAAATTTTCTCAAGTTCTTTCTACTTTACCACCAAATCCACAACTGCAACTCTTTATTTTCTTTTAATTCATCTTAAATGCCTCTGAGTCTCTACCTCTCTCATGAGTTCAATTGATAACTTACCATATTTAACCTTTCCCTCATTTTCATATTCCCTCTATTATTCCTAGTTACTTAACTACTTCTCTCTATCTCTCTATATTTCTCTTTCTCTTTCTCTATCTTGATAGAGTACCACAAATGACAAGATGAGAGAAAGACAAAAATTCTCTTCTTTACTAAGCTGACTGATTTGCTATATTTGGATGCAATCCAATTTTTGTTTGTGTCCATTAGCTTATTGTGGGAAAATAGATTATGTTGTATCACATTGTTTATCTATGGATAATTATCAATTAGATGACTGAATTATATCAAAAAAAAGTTTCTTTTAACAACAAAAACTAAAATGGAATTTCCACATGTTTTCTCGATGCTTATCATGCTTTTACAAGCAGCTAGCTTTCGTTTTTTCAAACATTTTCGTGTTTTTTTGCCAACATCAAAAATACTTTTTTCACTCTATTTTCATGCATTTCCTCCTTGCCTATCCTCAATATGCTTGATAAATAGAAGAAAACCAATTCAACGGTTTCTCGAAATACATTTTCTATTCTCCGTTTTTTCATCAATCGCTCAGGTTAAGCATTCTGAAGATTTTCCGATGAGCCTGCTACGGCTGCTGCTGATGGCTTTTGTTGTCACAGAGACACAAGCAGATCATATTCTGATTTCCCGTCATTTCCATAATCGTTCTTCAAATATTTTTCTTGTCAGAGAGACAAAAAAGGAATTCCTCTCAGCTCTCTACGTAGAGGACATGAATTGGGATAATAAGTGATTAATGATGATTCCCAATGTGTTACATTCATCAGAAGCCCTAGTAACGGTTGTCATTGGCATCTTCCAACATTCATTTTTTATAATTTCGAAAAAAAAAGAAGAAGAAAAACTTTAGAAGTCATATGTTTGTCTCCTTAGAAAGGCAAATTGTGCTGAAGCAAAACAAAATTTCCTTCTTTTTTTTTTCTTTTAGTAAACCTTCCTCATCCACATGGACTTCATTTATCCATTTCCCTTCAAATAGGAAACGCCTCCCTTCCATTCGTTCTCTCTTTCAAATTCAATTATTCTTTTAAATCACTCGTCTATTTTACCTTATAAACTTCCTTCCTTGTTTCCATTTCAAAAACTTTTATTTTCTATTTGTCAACTGTCGATTCCACGTTCCTACCACCGATCTCCTGATCATGTTTCATATCGTTCAAGCATTTTTTTAAAAAAAAAAAGATGATTTGTTCAGCTGCCAACTTTGATTGTCAAGCTACATAAGAGCGACTTCTAACCTCTGTCTCATTTCAATTCAGCCCCCTTATACTCTTTATCACTTTCTCATCGTTCAGCTCATTCACTACTCGATAGCCCAAAAAGAAAATAAAAAAAGACCTGCTGAATCGATCATGAAAAATTCGTGTTGTTTATGGAGTTTGAAGATTGAGTTTCTTCCAGTTTGTGTGTTCGTTCATTAAATTATTCCCTTCTTCCCGTTTTTTGAATGAATATTAATAAAATAAACATCAAACTCTATGATTTTCTTACGAATAAGAATATAAAAAAAAGAAAACAAAAGATTGAGATTGACATCGCTTAGCTTGTTCCCAAAGAAGGAAAATTCCAAATTTTAGTGAATCAACAATCAAAATTGTTGGAAACATTCTGTTTTTATTAATTGTTTCAATTTTCGTCTTTATATTAATATAATTACAGTGTGATGTCCGATGTAAAACGTTCTTTGCTCGATATGGGTCCTGGGAAGACAGAAGTGGAGGAGGAAGAAGCTGAAGAGATGCAAGAAGAAGAATCTAAAGAAACCTTTTCTGAATTTTGTTCGAGTAAGTCCTTATTTAGGGCTTTCAACAGAGAAGAAACAATTTGGAAGCATGTACTGATTCAAATGAGATTTTAAGTAAAAGTTCATTTGAACGACTAACTGTCACCACAATGAATTTATGAGATTTTGAGAAAAATGTTTCAGGACAAGCTCGAAATGTTGTACATTTTTTGGTAGAAGACTGGTGCTTATCAGCCTTATTAGGAATAATTACAGCTGTATTATCTGTTGGAATGGATGTTGCCATTGAATCTCTCCAACATCGTAATCGTTCATTTCATTCACATACTCTAACATTTATGATATTCTAGTTCATGTAGTAGTTTATGATAAGCTTATTCTTGTTTCTTCCTACCTGGCATGCTCTGTATGGATATTTCATGTTGTTTTCTTTACTACAGTTGCTGCAATATTTTGTCAAATAGTATCGAAACAAGCCGTTGGTTAGTCCAATGTTTCCAAGTTCATATAAGGAAATGACATTTTTAGGATCTGGTATTCCGGAAGTCAAAGTGATAATGCATGGATTTAAAATGAATAATTATCTTACCTTTCCAACTCTTATAGCTAAAATGGTTGGATTAACATTTGCCATGGGAGCTGGATTACCCATGGGGAAGGAGGTGATTGGCGTCAGCTTTCTTTTCCTTTTTTTTTGTATTTTTGCACCTTTGTTTTCAGTTGTTTATCAAAAGAAAAATTATTATCATATAATTAAGGGACCATTTGTACATATTGGAGCTATCGTGGCTACTTTGTTATCAAAGCTGACGGCAAGATGTCAATACTCTGCGTTCTTCTCAAACGAGGGTCGTGAAATGGAGATGCTCTCAAGTGGTTGTGCTGTAGGAATCGCCTGTACATTCAGTGCCCCAATTGGAGGTTTTTAAGTCACATCAAGTCTGATGTTGAACTTTCTTTCTCTATTCAGCTGTTTTGTATGCCATCGAATCAACTTCAAAGTATTTTGCTGTAAAAAGCTACTGGAGAAGCTTTTTAGCTGCTACTTGCTCAGCTATTGTTTTCCGATTTGCTAATTTCTTTGTAACAGCGGCTCAATCTGGTTTGTGAGAATCATATTGTAAAATTTTAACACTGACTGTGTAGGAACCATAACGGCATTCTATCAAACCAAGTTCCCCACAGACCCTTTCCTGGTCGAAGAATTGCCTGTGTTTCTATTGCTTGGCTTCATTAATGGAGTAATGGCTTCACTCTTCATCTATACTCATCGGAAGATATCCTTGTTTCGACAGAGGAATGGAATCATCAAGTTAATATTCAGAAATAAGTGAGAAGAAAGTTTCCATATAATATTTCAAATACTTTTTAACAGTTTCCTCAGTTTTACTGTTTTCATTGCATTCGTGTGTGGAGTTCTGACTTATCCTCCCGGAATAGGAAGATTCATAGCTGGAAAAGTAATATATTGAAGTTTTCTAATTTGAGAACATTATCAAACTTCAGCTTACATTCCGAGAAACAATGGCTGACTTCTTCAACAATTGTACTTGGTATTCGAATGATAGTTGGAGAAGGTACATCTATTCTTCCCTAGAACTAAAAACAATTTTCGTTACTCTCTGATTTTTGAATAAGCTTATCATCCTTCACGATAAAGATTGTGGAGCACGAATGACAGAATACCTTGGGAAAATTAATTTGCAAACTTATTATTCCAGATGCCCAGACAGTCTGATAGAACATTGGACAGGTGGTCCACAAGGAGGTCTTTCAATATTCACAACATTATCATCATACTATATAGTTTATGTATATGCTTCCTGTTATTCTATAAATATATCTTTTACAACTTTAAGTATCTGCTTGTTGCCATTGTTATATCAATTAACGTACCCGCAGGAGTTTTCGTGCCTTCTATGGTCATTGGTGCAACTGGCGGTCGTATACGTATGTGTTTTTTATATTTTTGCATAAATAACTATATTAATTTCAGTTGGAGAGTTTATGGTCTTTCTCTTTCCCGAGGGTATGAGAGGTCCCGGTGGCCCTGTAATCTATCCCGGCTTGTATGCGGTCGTAGGTGAGTGATTTCAATACAGTTTTCACACTTCTAAATCATCACTCTTTCAGGATCAGCTGCTTTCACAGGAGCTGTCACGCATACATTATCTGTTTCTGTTATAATTTGTGAATTGACGGGTCAATTAGCTCCTATTCTACCTGTTTTGGTATGATTTCGGATCAGTTGAAGAAATATATTTATCTTTTCAGATTGCTATGTTAATGGGAAATGCTATCTGTAAATTCTTGCAGCCATCCATATATGAGAGTATAATCAGAATAAAGAAATATCCATACTTGCCGGATTTACCGCCATCACGTATCAGGTATTTTTCTGGATAACAGCACCAAATTAGACCATTCATTCAGTGTCTACACTGTGAAAGTGGAACAGCTGATGGTTACTGATATCATTTATATAACGAAAACAATGACGTACAGAGAAATGAAGGATGTTCTTCAATCTGCTCCTCATCTGAAAAGTTTACCAATCGTGACAGATCATGGTATGCGTCACATTTTATTTCAAAGTATACGTTCTATCTATTTCAGAAAGTAAAATATTAGTTGGATCTGTTGCAAAAAGATATTTGACTATGCTTCTTAGAAGACATGTACTTGTCACTCAGCAAGATAGCCGAGCAAGTGTTCGAATCACACCAGCTGAGATCTTTAACACAATTCGAAGAACCAGTATGAGGTTTTCACACAATCGTTGTTATAATTATCTCAAGTATGTCATTTCAATAGGTTATCTAAGCGTTCCCCTCATCGGAAATCACGTGAAGGAAGAGATTCGAAAACAAACTCTGATAGTAACGGCACAACAGATGGAGATATAACAACGAGGAGCAACGACACTGAACAAGTATACCCGTGATGTAAAAAAATTATCAAACTCATTCATTCAGGTTGAGCTTATATCTGATCGAACGTATAGCGGAAATACTTTGTTATCTATCTCCCCTCTCCATGCTCCAAATTCAGTTCCTTTGCAAGCTGTTTTCACTAGACCATCTATTCATGAACTGAACAAAGTTAGTGGAAAACTTCGTAAAAAATATATATATATTGAACATTTGAGGATATTGACCAGGAAGCTTTGCTCGACAGAGTGATCGACTTAGACGAAATCGCCATCGACGCAGCACCATTCCAGCTTGTTCTTGGATCTTCACTTTATAAAGTAGGATCGCAGAGTGAATGATATTCTAATGATTTTTTGTAGGTTCACACATTATTTTCATTATTGGGATTGTCACATGCTTATGTGACCGATTGTGGAAGGCTAGTCGGTGTTGTTGGACTCAAAGAAGTATACCTTCGCCAGAAAATCAAGATTCAATTCATTATTTTTAAGCTTCGGGATGCTATGGCGAATATCTATCTACGTGGTGCCGTTGTTCCAACGAAAAATGAACGAAAACAAACATCTTCATCACATCCTCTGTTCAAAGACAATATCGAACAAGTAATCACTTGATATCAATGAAAATATGAGAAACTATTGTGCTTTAAGGCAAATGCAACAAATGGAGTTATAATATCTGCGACGGAGCCATCTAAATATGGAAATCTTCTAACAGTACCACAAGCCTTATAACAACCACTTCTTTCAACTCTCTCACATGATATTTCTCTCATTACCGGTGTTTGGTATAAGTTTTCGACTTCATTTAGTGCTTACTAAATTTTTATTTTCGTCACTTCTGTTTTAAGCCATTTGAAAACTTAGTTACTATTGATCTCAAACTACGTGTCTTAAGAAAGTCAACGACTGTAAATGTTTTTTGATAAGTTTATGAAATAAATGCGTTTAAGATACGAAACCTTCATTCATGCTCATTGAATCAGATACAGCGCACGACCGATCTTACCACGCGTTTCCTTGGAATGAAAAGGCTTATTCGCCAAATAAAAAGCGACCGCTCAAGAATTTTATATTTTCTTGAAAATGAAATTCAGCGAAAATACTATTTTACGTGCAAAACCGCTCAGCTCCAATGTTACAATCAAATGAAACGCTCGCTATATGGAATGTACTGAACCTCCAGAAAATAACAATGCAAATGCATGCTTGATCCTGAGAACGTTTGAAGAACGATAAACGCTCATGAGATCAGAACTTTTTTATTTCTCTGACGTTCACATATACCAGTAGTCAAAAATTGAAAATTGTTTTTTGCGATCCTAACACCTGAACAAGAAGAACATAATTCGAGTTTTATTAACAAGTATACTGAATTGGATTAGTCGATTGTTTGGTTGAAAAAATTGAAAGATGGAATCTTTGCGAAGTATAAGAATAGAAATCGTTAAAGACAATTATAAAAGACATTCTGTTTTACCATCACATTTGTACTCAGATCGAGCAATACAGTAAGCCCATTGACGTGAGAAAGTGAAGCGATGCTCCCTCTCAATCACGCAAGATCCAACTTTCTTGTCACAATAGCAACCGTAACTGAAAAGAATGTATAAATTAATTTGTCCTGAATTCGTTTGTTACTTTGTGTATTTGTATTCCCATGGAAGATTACACCAATCGTTTGGTTGTTGAAATGGTTTGCAATCATCGTGGCTGTGGCACGGGATGAACCTAAAATTGTATCAACTTTCCACTTCAATATCTGTAGGTACATACTTTCCGGCCGATAGCACAAACTCAGCATTGCTACAAGTGAAGGTAGAGTTCAGTTGATTATTACAAGCATAAACGGTGTTCACTTTTTTTGGTGGATTACAGTCTGAAAACGTTTCGTTTCACACAACTATGATTCTACCTCTAACCTTCTTCTTTGAACGATGAGGAACTGTTCTGTCCCAATGGAAGTGGAGAAGATGTGAGATTACCAGGAACAAGAGTAGAGTTGAGTGGGTTAACTGTAGTTTCTGTTACTGCTGAATCGTTTTTAAGCATTGACGAATCAGTAACAGACGTGTCTAAAGTTAATAACTAAAAATTGAATAGTCATTAGAACTCATACCATTAGACTTCGGTGTTTCTACTATCCCCTCATCTACCTGAGATCGAGAAAAATCAGATTGAGAGTTATTGAAATAGAAAACTTACAACACTAAGGTTCAATGTTTTTTCAGTAATAGCTTGGGATTGGAGAATGGCTGACAATAATGCAACAGCAACAAATAAATAAATTTGAGAAGCCATTTATAAACTGAGGGAGTTAAAACTTGGTATGTTTAGAAAGAACTCGAAAAAAAACCAACTGAGAGGTTTATATAGAAGGGAGAGATGATTCATTAGCTCCATATGTATACTTTTTCATTTTTATCACAATAGCCTCTTATTCTTTTAATTTCGAAGATGACGTGATGATGGTCTGTCATCTGACTCATAAACGAAAAAGGAAGAGAAGACGATCAAGATTTAAGTAAAATTATGAATTCTTTATAATGATTTATACAAGAGCAATGAATCAAACATATTCTTCATTCATTTGAATGAATAAATTCTTTTCTTTCATCACATTCTAACATGTATTTCTCAAACTATACAACTTTCTTTGTCGCTGTTAAAATTCATCTTTTAAGAACATCTTCATGTACTCCCACGAACGCTTTGCCGCCTTCTCATCATATTTTGCTCCAGGAATTCCATATTTTTCAACTCCAGGAACGGTGAAGGCATGTTCTGCATTTGCATACCTAATGAAATGCCAATCGCTCTTTCTTCCACGCATCTCATTCAAAAAGCCTGAAACCTGGAACAGTGACAATAAGTATAGGATAACAAATTGATGACTACATACTTGTGTTTCATTAGTGTGAATATCTAAATCTCCATGATGTGCTTGAATTACAGTTCTTGTTGAACTGTAAATGAAAAGTTGGAAAGTCATAGATAAAGGACAAGGTAATATGTATATCACTTGCCTGGTTTGGTTTTGAGGATAATTAGTTAAAGTCCCATGAAATGAAATAGCAACTTTCGCACCAATGTCAAACCGTGCAAGATCCAAAGAGACAAGCCCTCCATAGCAATACCCGACAGTTCCAATCTTAAAAATGATTCTTCCTCCCCCATTTAGTATGATTTTACCTTATTCTTATCCACGAAAGAAAGTGTATTCACATAGTTCCAAGCTGCCAATATTCTATCACGAAGAACAGTGTTTCGTTTGCTCAATATGTCAGTCATTATCTCAAAGTTCTTCTCTACAGAATCAGAAGCAACGTTTTTCCCATATGTATCAGCGGCGAAAACAACATATCCAATCTGAGAAAAAATGGTTAGTTTGAATCAATACTCGAGTTCAAGTTGCGCACCTTTGCTAAACTTTTGGCTTGATTATCGGTGAATTTATCTCTGCCCATGAAATGATGGAAGAGAATTACTGTAGGCATTTTACTCATTGAACTTCCGGCTCTGAAGTAACCTTATCTTAGTTAAACTCATTAGATCGAACCTCGGACGCACCAGCAGTCCTTCAAGCTCATGAGATACATTTAAAGTTCCGAAGTACGAAACTTTTTCTTCTCTCAATAACGATTCTTGGAAATCGAAATCGAAAGCATCCACTTTCAGAAAAATTATAGATATCAACACGATCAAGAGAGTCATCTTCATGAATTCTGGAAGAGAGGAATGCGAGAAACGAAGATGAAGAAATGGAAACGATTGAATTCAACGAAACAAAATATAAATTAATATCAATGTTTTATAACAATAATATAGGGATTGCAAATGTTTGATTATCTAAGTAGGCTGAACGAATTTCAACGTATTGGTTCTCTGGCGCCAAGTGTGAGAAATAATCTTAATAACGATATCATACAATCAGCAGAGATTATTAAAAATTCAGAATTTCAGAAGTCATTTTCACATACATATGTATTTATAATAAGAAGCAGGATTTGGCTTTCTCGAGTAGTTTATTAATAACTGTGATAATTAGTCAGTTGATTGAACTTTTGTACATTCCATCTATGAACGCATGGAGAAGTTCATCATATTTCTCCAAATATTCGAGATTCAGACATGCTTGAATAGATCAAGATGCATTCACTTTACGGCTAAAGAAACAAAAAAAAGCCTGTGATATAGCTTTTCTATAAGATCGTATACTATAGTAAAGATAGGTAGGAGCCACACAGTTGGCCAACATAAGACCGTCTATGGCCAGATTGAGTGCGGCTGATGAATAAAATTTGAAAAAAGGAAGTTTTCCAATTATTAATCACCTGAAACATTTGTTCTCCACGGTTCTGTGACAACATATGCAAATGCTGGTAAAATACTACCAAACGCTTGAATAGCAACCTACAAACATAATTGTTATTAGAAGATAATTGAAATTACCTGAATATACAATATCTTGGTGAAGGATCTATGAGTCTGATAAGTTGAAGGAGCCATCACAGATTTCAAATATTCAAACTTTTTACGTGTTTTATAGACTAAACAGATCAGTTCACTGATATAAACGAATGATCCAATAACAAAGTAAAGGAATAGCAATTTGATATGAATTCCTGATTGCGTGAAACTGGAGTAAATAACACGATCAGATAAATAGGGTCCCACATCATCTGGGACATTCTGAAAGTTTATACCTATTATGAAAGAGCTAAATGAATTATCAACTCCGAGGCATCTTATCCTGAGTTGAGCCACATTGTCTAGCTTCAACGAGAACAGGACTATGGCCGGGATGAATATTCCACCAGTAATATTAACAACATAGAAGACTCTTTTTTGGAACTGCTCTTTCACACTAAGTGATGGATCCACACGGAGTGAGCTATATCGGAAATAAATAAGGAGAAGATCAAAACATGATTTAACTGAATGTTCCTTATTTAACGATAAAAAAATATTTTGAAGCTTACTACAAAAGATGAAAAGCATACTGCTCAGCTGGAAAATATTTGAAAATCCTAGGAAGCTCAACAGACCGTTTATGGAATAAACTTTACAATATGGTAAATGAGATGGATGAACAGCAAGAGAGACATATAAAGCTCCAAAAGAACAACTGAAAAGATAATTAAGAAAGCGAGAAGAACTGAAGCTTACAGAGAGCACTCAATGTACAGTAATACTTTATATTCTTTCGTCATAGCCTTAGGCGAATGATATAGTATGCAGTAAATGGATAGAAATAATGAAATAACACAATAAGGTGATGCACAGAACAAGAAAATATCATGAGCAGTCATTATCAACTGTTTTCAATGTCAGCTTAATTGAAAAACAGTTTACATTGTAGTATGCAAGTGCTCTGAAGGAAGAGAAACAAAAAAAGACAAACAACTGAACCATCCCATATGAGCTCCGATGCAACAGTAATCTTATTGTACGTAGCAAATTATAAAATGAACGTCCAGAATACAATCAAACTTGTTGCATTTCATTCAAAATGCTCTCTCATCTTTCTTTTTGTATTTCATGATGTGAGCATCTCTCCAATAATACCGTTGCCTATGCATATCTTCCAGAGGTAAACAACTTTTTCTTTTACAACCAGTAGTTCCTTGCTGAGATCTCATGTTCTATTTGGAATAACTTTAGTTTTATGTTTCTTTTAGAACACGCTTGAAAAATCTGCTGGTTATCATCAAGCTCTGCGTGCTCAACAGAACGACTATTCTGATCTATAATCCGATGTTAGCAAACAGCCGTATACGTTACCTTGGGAACCATACAAATATTGTTGATGTACAATAAGCTTTTGAGAATTTCTCAGTTTTTCATTCTCACTCCGATTCATAGCGCAACAAACAACGATGTATGATAGGATCGAAGAAGATATTTTTTGTTTTGATTCAGTGAACTATGAGTTGATCATACAGATCAAATGTGATAATTCCCCCCCCCCGCACTAAGCACTACATGTTTTCCTGAACACGAGTTTCACTCAAACTTCTTCAGAGCTGGTCCTGAAAAAGGTTTTTGAAATTGCCACTCTGCTGTTCTT